AACTCAAGTCACATGACTTGGACTCGAGTCAGATTTGAGTCATTATTTTAATGACTTGTGACTTGACAAAATCTATAAAGACTTACGACTTGACTCGGACTTTAACGCCAATGACTTGCGATTTGAATCGACTTGCATCTCTTGACTTGATGATGACTTGAGCATTTTTGATATTCTAGCACAAAAGTGGCACGACATGGACAAAAATCATAAATCATTCTTCGTTCTGGGTTTGATCTTGTTCTGCTGAATGCAGCAGCACTTTGTTTATAATCAGTTTCAGTTGCACTTCCTGCTTGTTTGAGCAAATAAAGCTTTAAGAAGCTTTATTTCTGGAATTTATTTATTATCACTGTCATTACATTTACCAAACTAGCAAAACAACGTGAGCACGTTCTGAAGATGGCGGGTGTGCAGGCTGGTGGCTCTTCAGCTCCAGCAGGCTTGAGAGCCTTTGGTGGACCCAGAGCTAAACCAGTGATTTATAACACTTCTGATGGCAAAACTCTTGTTGAAGATGCGTTTTTAAATTTTCTTGTTGTTAAGATGAAAACGTTATGCCATGATGACATCATTTTGCTTGCTGTGAAACACTTTGGTTCGGAGTGGATTGAGGCCTCAAAGAAGGTCCTCCATGATTTATGCCCGAGCCCAACGCTGCGTCTAGTAACGCACAAAGGCCCTCAAAAGGACGTTAACAATGTGAAGAGCTGCTTGAAGCTTCTTAATGAGGTCGGCGAAAACATCCCCCGCTTTGTGTCGCATCATCTGGACGAGCTTCCCACAATTACTTTTAGCAGTATGGATGTCTCCTGCCTGCTCGGTAAAATTGAGAAGCTAAGCACTGATGTTTCTCTGTTGACGCAAGCGATGTCTACTCAGACGAGTGTCTGCGAAAATCTCCGTGTGGTGACAGCTAACATGAGTGAACGCCTGGGCGCGGTAGAGCAACTTGGTGTGAACAGCGGAGGCAACCCGCCTTGTTCCGATCCGCTGGTGACGTGTCAAAGGATGGAGATGACGGCGCGGCAGATCGAAGCTACTGCTGAGGTGCAAACGGCTTCATCACCTGCTTCGGGCGGTGGGGCTGGTGCCCGAACGGTGAGGAGGAATCCGGTGGTTTCAAATAATGTGGGGGGTTTGGATCCGAGTAACGCTTCACCTGCCTGGAGTCAAGTTGTTAAAGAAGGACGCCGTCCAAAGCGGGCTCCAGATGACGGCCCAGCGCAACTAAGGCCTAAACGGAATTTCGCTAAGAGGCATGTTGTCGTGGGATCCTGTGCCGGAGGAAGGATCAAAGTTTTAAAAACGAAACTGGTGAGTGTCTTCGCAACGAAGTTCTGCCCTGATCTTATGCCGAGTGTGCTGGCTGACTATCTGAAAGAAAAACTACATCGTGAGGTGCGGTGTGAGAAGATTAACAACAACCAGAGCCGTTGTAGTTCCTTTAAAGTTTTGGCCGAATGTGAGGAGGTATCTGAACTGTATGATCCTCAACTGTGGCCTGAAGGAACCTTCGTGAGGCGTTTCTATGAGAAGCGCAGAGCTGTGGCTGTAGATGGAGCTGCGGGTGGGCCCAGTGGGGAGCCACTTACTCAGGGAGCATCCAGTAAAGCATGAGAATTGTGTCATATAACTCCCGTGGCCTGCGCCTCGGTAACGGGGCTGGGGATAGGGCACGTCGTATTGTTGTCGATAAACTTTTGGAAGATGTTGACATTTTATGTCTGCAAGAGACAATGCTGCCCAAACAGAACCTGGATCGGTTAAACTCCTTTCACTGCAATTTTTTTGGTGCTGGGGAGTCCACTACTGATCTGTCATCTGGAATTATTCAAGGAAGGATACCTGGAGGCGTGGCCATCCTATGGCACAAGGATTATGACCCTTTTATTTCTGTTGTTAGGCTAAATGTGGACTGGTGCATAGCAGTAAAGATTGTTATGGATGACAAGGTATTCATGATCTTAAATATTTATATGCCATATGAGAGTCATCAGAATGAAGATGAATATCTGGCAAAACTTGTTTTTTTAAGCTCATTTATCAGTCAGTGTGAGTTTAATTGTGTTTTTATTGTTGGTGATATGAATGCTGATATTTCAGACACTCGCTCCACCTTTGGGCAACATCTGATTCAGTTTTGTGTAAATAATAACTTGGTTTTAACTAGCAAAGAGAGACTGCCAGCAGACAGCCACACGTATGTCAGTGAGGCATGGCACTCAACTTCCTGGCTTGATCACTGTATATGCACTGAGGATGCACATGAATGCATATCCAGGGTGGAAATCTTATACTCCCTGGCAACAACTGATCACATCCCTGTTTCCTTACTGGTAAACTGTGAATCTTTGCCTGTGCTGCTCCAACACCAGAGCCCCTCACACACAGAGAAGCTTACTTGGGCTAAAGTGTCAGTCGAGGATATTAGGAAATATTCCTTACTGTCAGATTGTAGTCTGAGATCTGTTAATGTCCACAAAGGAACGTTACAGTGTAAAGATGTTAACTGTGATCATATGGAACACAGGCTGCACTTATGCACTTTGTATCAAAATATTGTGGACAGCTTGATTATTGCCAGCGAGTTCCTCTGCCAAAAGGGAGCAACAAAATTTAAACCGCTTCCAGGATGGAGTGAGCATGCTTATGCGTTACATGCTGAGTCCAGAGCAGCCTATAAAACCTGGGCAGCTGCTGGTAAACCAAAATCCGGTTCAATATTGGAGTCTAAGAAAGCCGCGAACGTTAAGTTCAAGAATGCTGTTCGCTATATTAAAAGAAATGAGCAAACAATGCGGGCAAACTCCTTAGCAAACAAACTAAAGAATAATGATGTTTCGGAGTTCTGGAAGGAGTTAAAACGCTCCTGTATCAGTAAGCAGCTGCTACCTGCATCTATAAATGGGGTATCAGGAGATAAGAACATTGTTGAAGCCTGGAGGAATCACTTTAGCAGAATTTTTAACTGAGTAAATAGTGAAAGGTTCAATGTTGGCAACATTGACTACAATCATGGTATGATTGTCAGAGCTGATGAAGTCCGTCTCGCTATAGAGAAAGTGTCTTTAAACAAAGCTTGCGGCCCTGATCAACTATCAGCAGAGCACATGAAGTATGCTAGCTGTAGAGCTCAGGTGTTACTCTCATTGTGCTTTACCGGCTTTTTGAAGCATGGAATCTTGCCTGACCATATGTTAGATGTTCTCTTAGTCCCTATAGTCAAAGAGAAAAAACTGGAAAAATCTCCTGTATTGATAACTACAGGCCTATTGCTATGGCAAGTGTGTTGTCCAAGGTGTTTGAGCATATTTTGCTGGAAAGACTGCAGAATTTTATAACCACTACAGAGAATCAGTTTGGTTTTAAAGGTAAACTTAGTACTGACTTGTGTATTTATGCTTTAAAAGAAACTGTAAGCAAATACATGAGGCATAATACTTCTGTTTTTATGTGTTTTTTAGACGCCTCTAAGGCCTTTGACAGAGTCAATCATCAGAAATTATTCATCAAGCTACAAAACAGAGGGGTCCCTTCTTACCTAGTTAGGATTTTGCACTTCTGGTACTCTCATCAACTGATGCAGGTAAAGTGGGGGACAGAAGTGTCTGAACCTTTCTCTGTATCGAATGGAGTCAGACAAGGCGGGATTCTGTCTCCTGTCCTTTTTAACCTGTACCTTGACGAGTTGTCTGTTACTCTGAATGATAGTAAGACTGGATGCTTGGTGGGTGACCGCCTTGTAAATCATTTAATATATGCAGATGACCTAGTCCTCATGTCTCCCTATAGCGCAGGCCTGCAGCAGCTGCTCAGGGCATGTGCTAAGTGTGGTGAGCAATTTGACATCCTGTTTAACCCTAAAAAGAGTGTGGTTATGATTGCTGCTACTAAAGGGGACCTGAAGCTTAATTTTCCATCTTTTAACTTAAAAAATCAGGTCCTGGAAGTGGTAAGCAAAGTAAAATATTTGGGGCACATTTTAAGAAGTGACCTCTGTGATGACGAGGATATTAAGAGGCAATGCGGTAAGCTGTACATGCAGGCTAACACTCTGGCACGTAACTTTGGCATGTGCTCAGATCCTGTTAAAGTGTCCCTCTTTCGTTCCTTTTGTACTCCTCTCTATACAGCCCACTTGTGGTGCAACTATAGTAAGGTAGTAATGAAGAAGCTTCAAGTGGCTTATCAGGATGCTTTTAGAATCCTCATGAAGCTCCCTAGATGGACTTCGGCAAGTCACATGTTTGTTGTGAGTAACATCCCTACTTTTCATGCGCTTCTGAAGCTCTTCATGTATAAATTCATCTGCCGACTGAGTTTGTCAGCTAACGCGGTTGTTAGAGCTCTGCCATCTTTAACTTACAGTGACACGAGGTACTCCTCAGTCCTTTTTAAACATTGGAACAACTGCCTATACGGTTTGTAATTAGAATGTGTTTGTATTTTATTTTTTATTTTATTTTATTCTTGTTATGGACATATCCATTGTCTGAAATAAAGTTTGATTGATTGATTGATTAAGATGGACAGATGACTTGACTATTACTTGAAAATTCAAAGTTAAAGACTTGGACTTGACTTGGACTTAGTTGTCTTTGACTTGGACTTGATTGGAAAGACTTGTGACTTACTTGTGACTTGCAAAGCAGTGATTTGGCCACACATCTGTTAATTAACCTGTTACATGTTTAGTTCCTACCTGCCTCCTGAGTATTTGCTCTTTGGGTCAGACAGACTAACGGTTTAAAGCGACCGTTTATACGGTTTTCCTCTACTGAAATCTTGAGCAAAAATCTGATTTTTAATGAAAAATTATAAATGTGTGGACATAAAAATTCAACGTGGGAACAAGAGCTATAAATATATTTAAAGTACCGTAAATTTTTGGGTATGCTTGTTCATGACATTACTGCTGGATATTTTCTTGTTTTACCAACGAATAACAGACTTTTATGAGAGTACTGATGGTTATGGCTGTCAGGACACAAACTAACCTGGCAGCACGATCATACTCCCCCCAGATTCTCACAAACTCGTCCAAGTGGTGAGGGCCGAGGATGGATGAGTCTCTCGTAAGATACTCAAAATTATCCATGATCACAGCCACAAACAGATTCAGCATCTAAATGGAAAACAAAATACAAACATTTCAATATGTTCTGACCTAGAGGATTTTTGTTTGGTATACTTTCTGCAGCATCCCTTCTTACAAGGAAAGAGCTGAAAAAGATGAAGGAGACGAAGTAGAAATAGGCAAAGTCCGAGCCACAGCCCTCCCTCTGGTCTTTTGTCAGCGCTGCTGGGGGAAGAGAGGGGTCCGTCTCACATCTCTGTCCCCCCAAACACGACAACATGATCTCCTGCCACGATTCCCCAGTAGCACTCCTGGTTAGAACAAATAAAACAACAGGACTCCATACTTGTTTACCGTTTTCTGGAGGGTGAAATGAAAACAGGATTTAGACCATTAACTTGGAGTACTTTAGAGACTCTGATTGGTGTAAGATAAAAACTTGTTTGCAAACTGGCACATTCTGTAAATGGAAAAAAATGAACACATAGCATGATTAAGATGTTATTTTAAAAGCTTTAAAAAAAGTTTTATTATACATTGATATCAAATTTTTTGTAACTAAAGCTTGAGCTTTTAAAACTCAAATGAAATCTCTATTTTAATTAATTTAATTTAGCTATTTTTATATTCTCATTAAACTTATTTTAAATTAAAAACTGGTAAAACATTAACAATAAGGGTCCCTTTATTAACGTTACTTGGTGCATTATTAAGCATTAATTAAGGGTCCCTTACTACAAAGTGTTGCTTCAAACCTTTACTTGACCATATTTTCCATGCGAGTGGTTTGGGCTAGTACCGTAAGTTTGTTTTTATTTTAATTATATCATTTAAGAGCAGATATTTTAAAATAAAAATACTTGGTTAGGGTTAGGGTTCGATTCCTAGATGTATTTTTCACTTTCGAAAGTAGATATAAGTTTTGTAAAATGGCACACAAGAACACATTTTAACCTTGCCATTAGAAAACAATCTTTTGTACAGCTCCTCTCAAGAAAAAAAATTACGAGGTGCTTCACAACAGCAAAGAAAAAAAGATTCTATAAAATATGGTTACAAGAAAAAAAAATGTAATTTTAAAAATGCAAGGAATGGGAAAGAGAAAAAGAACAGGAAAGAGGGAAATCAACTGAAAGGCAGACTTGGTAGAAAGAGCAGAATAAGGAGAGGGTGGTGATGAAGGTCACGCAAAAGCCAGATCTGAACAAGTGAGCTTTCAGCTGCTTTTTAAAAAGGCGAACACTGAGTCCACTGATGATTAAGACATTAACACAATATAAAAATGCAAGACTTTTCCCTAGACATCAATTTCATGTTTGGACCTTCTTGACTTGTTCTGAACAGCTTCAAGACTCTCAAAGGATCTGCAAAAAGATTGTTGAAAAGCACCATCCTGTAGTTTCTATTACCCCTTGACACCGAGTGGCCCTGTGGGTACTTTGAGCCTGTGAGCCTACTACTGTTGCCTAATATCATAATTCAGACTAGAATTTATAATTTACCATCTTGAGAACCAAATGTAACAAAAATATATAACAATGAGGTTCTGGGGTGGAGAAACAAATACAAGTAGAAACAGTCATTCATTCTGATGTAGAACAGATGAAATTGTGTACAGCATGATGTAACAGGTCAACACTAGAGAGGTGATCATACCTGAACAGCAGCATCAAAGCACCTGAGAAGGTTTTGAAGTTGTTGTGCTGGTTGATGTGAGTCTCTTCATTCAGTTTAATGTTCCCAAAAACCTGGTTTACACACATACGTGCAAACGCTCAAAAGAAGAAAAACTACTCCAAGATTCACATGTTTGTTATGAAGAGTTTCATTTAGAGCAACACTAAATAGTTTTAACACTTTAAGCTGTTGTTTCCAAAGTCGTTTCAGTGATTCCTGAGGAAGAAACTTAAGCAACTCCAAAAATGACGGATCTCTAAAGCCGTTTGCCGACCAGAAACCGCACTTTACAGTTTTGTGGGATGGATAGGTTCACCAGATAGAGCTCTGTACCTGCTTTACAGTTAGCTCACGTAAGGATTAGCAGTTGGCCGATTGTGAAAAAGAAAAAAAAAGATTTTTGCTGGCAACATGAAAATACCCTGAAAATGACAGTAAGAGAATAATGTCTTTAGATTCAAAGACCGAACTTCGGCGCAACCTACACCTGTTTGAGGAAACTAAAGGACTGATGGTGACCTGGCTTTGTTGCTACAGGACTTGTAAGCAATAAAATTTTTTTGCCCAGTAGTGTGGTTCTTTTAACTTTATGGCTTATTTATATCAGTTGGTTCATGCTAGTGTTAGCTCGTTGTCGTCACTAGCTGCAGGCTGCGGCAGAGTTGTTTACAACAGTTGTAATTCCACTTTCAAGGAGGCAGAAGCGGGAACTTATTTAGTGTTGCTTTATAACAAACAAACTGTTTAATGTGTGTTCACTTCTGACCTGCATGCCAATGATGGCGTAGATGAAGAAGAGCATTGCAATGAGCAGACAGACGTAGGGCAAAGCCTTGAAGGATTGGACAAAGGTCCACAGGAGGATCCGGATGGTGTAACCCTGCCTTAGCAGCTTGATCAGGCGGGCCGCTCGAAACAGCTTCAGGAAACTCATGTTGAACGTGTCAATGCGCTTTTAAAAAACAAACAGGAGAAAGAAAAGGAACCATTTGTACATCTGTGACTGATCTCTGCCTGATGATGATCACATAGATTTACCTGTAAGTCTACCACGATCTCAGTGATGCTGCCCAAGACGGTGATGAAGTCAAAAATGTTCCAAGTGTCCCGAAAGTAGTTCTGTTGACACACAAAAAAGAATCCTTCACTAAAAAAATAACATTCAATTCAGACTCAGGATTTTTGTTGCTCTTTCCTCTCACCAAAAAGCCAAAAGCCATGATCTTCAGGACACACTCGATAGAGAAGAGAACAGTGAACGCTGTGTTCAGGTGTTTCAGAACCGCGTCGTATGCTGGAGGAGCAGAATGGTACTGAAAATACAAAAAGATGATTAAAACTGGAGTATTCCCAAATCTGTTCCCTGCAGATCAACCTCCTCCAGTATCAATGTGAACTTCAGCAACCTGCAGGATCTACAGGTTGATGGAAGATTCCTGCAGATCCATAAATAGAGCTTCTGTCTCTGCATCCGTGGTGGCACTATAAAAGGAGCCATTCCTCCAGGGCCGGCAGCCACGGTTAATGAGGTCATGTTAAATAGCAGCGCCTGGACATTCTAGATCAATATTTAATACAGGCTGAGTCACTCAGCATTTGAGTCTGAAGAGCACAGGAAAAGGCCAGAGCAGCAAATAAATACTGATGAGGGAGAAAGCTGCAGCAGATCCGAACACATCCAGAGCTGAGGGGACACTTTTACAATTCTGTTATATGAAACTCAATCTGTTACCAGGAAAAAGGAAGGATTCTGAGCTAAATAAAATGCATTTATAATTTTGTTTTCAATTTTACTCACCTTCATCATCAGTACAATAGTGTTGAGAGCAATCATGGTGAGGACAGTGTACTCAAACGAGGGCGACACCACAAAATGCCACAAGCGGTACTGGAACGTGTGTCGGTTCTGCGGCATGTATCGGGTCAGGGGCTTCGCACTGATGGCAAAGTCTATGCATGCTCTCTGAATAAATACACATGCAACAAAAACAATAAAAGGAAGAAAGGTTGAAAAGAAGAACGATCACCAGCTGAAAACCAGTATTGTGTGGTGATACCTCAAGGTCACCTTTATTTATACAGCACCTTTACTGTTGCCCATGCAACCCAAAGTGCTGAACAGAACAAAGCCATGAAATAAAACATGTTCAAGTAAGACATTAATAATGATGGCACTGAAAACAAAAATAAAACCATGGGTAGAAGGATGGGACAAAACAATAAAATGGAAAGTTGGGAATTAATAACTAGATCAAACAATAAGACCACAATAAACTAGATAAAAAGAATAGCTGCACAAATCAACTATTATTAAAAGCCAGATCCAACTGAAAAGTTTTAGGTTTTGACTTCAAATGTTTGTCTGTAAAGGGTCATTTTAGCACAAACTGGCTCAAGAAAAGTATTTAAAAATATGAAAAAGTTGTGACATATCCCTTGAAGACTTTAACATTTAACAAAATTATTCTTAAAGGTGTGGGAAACTTGTTTAAACAATATGTTTGCAGTGGTCTTTGGTAGGAATGGATGCCTTGCAAGCCGTACTCGGGGCAAGAAAAGCCCAGAAACACTTGCATTAGCATGGACAAGTCTGCCACACCAGAGGAGAGCTGAACACCACAGGCTATTCGGACATCTCGTCTTGGTTTGAATAACAGTAATGCGACTCTACCGCTAACTCCATTTACTCTGTGGCATGGATGCTTTATCTCCACAAATAACACAAGAGTGGAGGAGTTCTGCTGTGTGGTTGAGTTGCTAATGCTAACAGTTAGCTTCCGCTAATTGAGACGTTCTCTGCTGATTCTGGACGCTAAAACAACAACAGTGTTTCCCGTCGCGAGCCAGTATGGGTGAGTCCAAGCAACTGCTTGACGCAGATCTGTCAGGCTTTTCAAATTCTAGAGTTTCACCGTCTATTTTCTATCAGAAGCTAACGCAGAAGATAGGTGTAGGAGACTATTTTCATGTTCAGCCTGCATGAAAACCTCAGAGTGACCCATTAGAATCAGAAATAATCATTAAAAAAATGCCTTTTCAGTGAACCACCTTTAAAAGGTATTATTATTCAGAATTTACTAATGACTCTAAAACGTTCGTGCTTTGTGCATAATTAAAGGATCGTCAACCCTAACAGCTGCTTCCAGGTTTTCATGGTTCACCTCGTTCTTCTCCAAGCTGCACTCCTCCATCATTTTATCACCCTGCTCCTGAAACGTGATGATGATGAGAGCCACAAAGATGTTGACAAAGAAGAAAGGAAACACAACAAAGTAGATGACGTAGAAGATGGACATCTCCATCCTGTTCCCGTGGCTTGGACCTCTATCCTCCTCTGTCACGTCTACAGAGTGCTGCAGGACCCTGGCAGAGCACAAAAACACAGAAAGAGGGTTCATTGCTGAATTATTCCAACACTGGGGGACATTAAACAAACACTGCCAGTAAAATATTATTTTGAGCTTAATGGGAGAGCATGCAAATGACCATGTCTTTGTTGGGTTTATCACTTTTCCCTCATCAAAGGTCAGATTTGACTAATAATAAAGCATAAGACACACCACGAAAGGTTATAACACTCTAACAAACTAATGATCCTGCTAAGAGAGAAAACTGATGAGCTTTTTAACTGGTCTGACTCCAGTCTGACACTCACTGAGGCCATCCCTCTCCAGTGGAAACCGTAAAGAGCGTGAGCAGAGCCCAGATCACGTTGTCGTAATGAAACTCGTGTCTTCTCCAGTCTCTTTTCTTCACCTCCTTCTTATCCTTCCCGTAGTCGATGTAATAACCTCTGAAGGAGGAAGACGTGGCAGTGAGATTCCATGAGACGAGCTCATTTTAATGTCTGTTGTTTTAAACTTCACTTTGAATAATAGTAAAACCTATTTCTCTTTATTCCTGAGACACACGAAGGACCAGGTTTAACATGTGAGCATTAAAAAGAAGGATTACTGGCAGTCTTTCTGTGTGTCCTTTGAACTGTCGGTGCAGTAGAAGAACTTCCCCTTAAAGAGCTGCACAGCGATGACGGCAAAGATGAACATGAAAAGCTTGTAGACAATTAAAATGTTGAAGACATTCTTCAGGGATGTCACAACGCAGTCAAACACGGCCTGGAGGAAAGCGAAAAGAAAAGATCGAGAATGCACTTCAGCTTCGAGGTGCAGATGACAACAAGAGTAGCATCATTAAGGTTTACACAATTACCAGAAAGCTTAAAGCGTGTTGTTAAATGTTTTTCTGCAGATGAGAAATCTAAATGTCACTATAATCCTAAAGAACCAAGGTTTAACAAGCTTTTCTGTCTGCACATTATTTAGGACACAATCACACAAAACAAAACCATCACTTTGGTTTTAAATGTGATCTAATTATTTAAACTCAGACTGATAACAATCTTGAGGGTTTTATGAGCTTGTAAAAATAATTAAAGCGTTAGAAAACATTTTTGTAAAGGTTAATGCTCCGGAATAGGATTTTAATTTAAGGCGTAAACATGCCTTTATGATCAAAAGCTCAAATATTGTTTGGATTCATCCTTCACTTCAATAACAAGCTTGTGTTTGAAAAAAAAAAGAAAACAAAACAGAAAAAAAAAGAAAAATAAAGTTGTGTAAAAATAATCACAAAACCTGAAAGTTTTATGAATAACCTGGACATAAAAAATTGAAACACACTGGAGTGCTACAGCTGAAGCTGCTCATCATATCATAGTAGTACATTATTCTGTTGAATTAAAATATTTAGGTGTTTGGCTTGATCCAGAGTGGTTTTAAATGTATTCCCATGACATGCCATAAGGTCACACAGTGCTTAAGAATCCTACGTAACTCAATAAATTATTTCGAACCGACAGTCCGTAAGCGGATTATCACTCAGCTTCTGCTGCTGATTAATGATTATGCAGATATATTGCATCAGAATTCTACGGTTGCTAGCCTATGGTCCCTTGATGTCGTCTACAATAGCTAATGTCATTTAGCTTTACGTTACTCATCATTGTTATACGCATGCACTTCTTGCTTGGCTGCCCTTAAAAGCTAGACGTCTATTTCACTGTTTGATATTTATTTTTAAATGTATCCATTTTGATTTTCCATCTTATCTGAAAGGTTTGTTGGTTCTCATTGATTCCTTGTATTCTACTCGTCTAACCGATCATCTTAATTTGTTGTTCCACAGTCTAAAAAGGAGGCGGAGATTTGCCGTTAGCGTTAAAGCTCCTCAGGACTGGAATAAGTTGAAGTGAGGTCCTTCTCATCACTTTGTCAAGTTAGTCGCACTGTTTATGTTTATGTTTATGTGAGGCCGATCTGTGATTGCTTAGCTTCAACTGTGTAATGATGAATCCATGTATTCGTTTGCTGCATTGCTGTTTGTTTTATATTGCCAGTTACTGTCAATCCATTTGGATGTGACTTTATTTCGCGTTTATATATGATGTTAGTGTAATGCCCTTTTTTGCTTGGAGTGACTCACAGCTGTTTTATTTTTTATTTTGATCTTTAATTTATTTCTTTAATTTCTGAAGTTTTATTTATTTGTTATTGTTATATCGTTTTATTCAAGTCTATTGTGGTCAATTTTATTCTTTATTGGTTGTGTTGAAAGAGGACCTGCTCGAAAACGAGATGTTACATCTCAAGCAGTTTATCCTCCTGAGAAACACATTTTAAATAAAATAAATAATAATAAGGAATCGGAGGATCTAAAATTAGGACAAAAAGCAAACCTAAAATGTTCTAGTTTTTATTGTTTTTTACTGAACAAAACGTAGCATCTTCTGATACTCTGTTTACCCACATTATCATTCCAGCTTTTAATAGAAACATGGAAATATCCCATTGAACATTTTGGAAAATTGCAATTTAGACATTTTTTTACATATAAAACAGTTTTTTTAAATTAGCTAACAGAAATAAACAGAAACACATCAAATAGAAAAAAGTAAAAACTGTATATGTGACCTTGAGTTTGGGAAGTCTCTTGATGGTCTTCAGAGGTCTGAGGACACGCAGGACTCGAAGGGATTTAATGGTCTTGATGTCTCGTCCTTTGTTGTTTCTGAGCAGAAGAACAGGCTGTAACTAAAGCAGCTAAAATCATTAGAAGTATCAGAGTTTGTAATACTTTAAGATAATGTTTCTGTCTTTTACCCCATCACGTTTCTGCTGGTCAAATCCACCAGGACAGCACACAGAGGAGAGAGGAAAGAGTTTTTATGTATTTTATGGAGCTCATTTATTGCTGTGCTCCTTCACAGCATATAAATGGTGGGTGACAATAAGATTTTACTCACTTTGTATTTAGGTAAATCAATCTTCTGTTCTTATGTTTTTCGTTTAGCTTAATCGTTGTTTTTAAGTTTAGGAAACTTTCATTCAATTTAAGATTTCCCCCAAAATAGTTCTGACTTATGGAAAACCACCACCAACATCCTGCGTTGGACTAAATCATGATTTAGAGAGAATAGTTTGGCCTTTTTGACATTCATTTTTTGGCCTCCACATAAAATGAACAAACAACATCTTCTAAGGCAGACCTGGGCATTTTACGGCCCGCGGGCCACATACGGCCCTTTGGTTGACTTTGACCGGCCCGTGTAAGGTTAATTGGAAATTACAAAATAAATGTATTTTCTCATTTTACCTCATGCATGGGCTAAGGCTGCATTGCTTTTATTTTGAAGTTGTTTTTACGTGCACAATGACGCAACACGTATAGCAACAAGTGCCTGCGGTTGACATGGTGATTGTAGCCCCCAGAAATGTCCGCTCATGCAAAAAAAAAAAGAAAGAAAGAAAGAAAGAAAGATGCCGAATGCAGGATTTTCAACAAAAATTGGACTGCTAAGTATTTTTTTACAGAAGTCGAAGGTAAAGCCGTGTGTTTGGTTTGCGGGGAGGAGATTGCCGTGTTTAAGGACTACAATTTAAGTCGGCATTACGACAAGAAACACTCGGAAAAATACAAGAACTTGTCTGATGCTGAGAGGGCACGGACATCCGAAGCTTTGCTAGCAAAGTTGCAAAAGCAGCAAGGCTTTTTTACTAAGCTTCACACATCCAGGGATGCAGCAACCAGGACCAGCTTTGTGATATCCCACAAAATAGCTAAAAACAGCAAGCCGTTTTCGGAGGGAGAGTTTGTCAAAGAGTGCATGGTGGACGCTGCTGCACTGCCCTGAAAAAAAGGCGCATTTGAGCAAATCCCGCTGTCCAGGTGAACCGTGACCAGGAGGATCGAGGACATTGTGGGGAACCTGGAGCTTCAGCTGCAACGTGAAGTGGCAAGTTTTGACTTTTTCTCATTAGACGAGAGCTGTGATGTCCGCGACACAGCCCAGCTGCTCGTATTCGTCCGGAGGATAACGGACTTCAAGCTCACAGAGGAGCTGGCAGCAATGCGGTCGATGAGAGGGACAATGACAGGGAGTGATCTTTTTACAGAGGGAAATGCGTGCACGGACACTCTGGGATTGAAATGGGAGAGACTGTCAGGTGTCACAACAGACGGTTGTCCAAATCTTACAGGGAAAAATGTCGGACTTTTGAAATGCATGCAAGATAAAGTGACAGAAATCGATGCAGATCAAAAATAGGTGTTTTTGCATTGAATTATACACCAACATGTGTTGTGCACGTCAGTGCTAAAATCAACCATGTTACTGATGTTGTTACTAAAATAATAAACTTCATCAGGGCACGGGCGATGAATCACAGACAGTTTGTGGCTCTTTTGGAGGACTCCACACAGCTGTCAGATGGCTCAGCCTGGGGAAAGTGCTGAAGAGGGTTTGGGACTTGAAAGCAGAGATTCAGGATCTCTGCTGGATTTCTACTCTTCTCTTAAGGAGGAGAACTTTCCAAACCTGAGGAGACATGCTCAGAAGATGTTGTATTTCTTCGGCTCTACCTACATTTGTGAACAAACATTTTCAATGATGAAGTTTACAAAATCCAGGTAAAGATCCTCTCTCACTGATGATCATTTGTCAGCTGTGCTTCGCTTCTCCACCTCAGACATTCAACCTGACCTTGATGCACTTGTTAAAGCCCAGCAGAGACTAGATTTCTCTCATTGAATAAGAAAAAAAATCGCTTAAAAACACAAAATAAGGTGTTTGGACCACAAATGTAGGCAACTAGCAGTGAACTGGGACACTTTTTTTAAAACCTCTTTCTCAAGATCACAGTTGAGTGATTTTATTTTACAGACAATACTGTGTGTCTGTAGAATGCTAAGAACCTCTTTCCAACAATATTTGAAACTCAAAATGTGTTTTGGAGTGAATGTGACTGAAACTGTTAACTAATATAAGTCACAAATGTTTAACAAAAACCAAATGTGCGCACTTTGTTTACCATTGCCTTGGGGAATTTGAATAAATCACATTTTTGTAAGCCAACCTCACTTTTTCCTTTTTGCTCATTTATAACTTATAGTCTACTCTTACCAGCTTGAAAAAACAATGGTATTTACTGCTTTTTATAAAGAAATACCATTAATATTATGCATAATTGACTTCAGCCTTTTGGCCTGGCCCTCCACAATATTTTCTGTTTCTCATGTGGCCCCATGGAAAAAATAATTGCCCACCCCTGTTCTAAGGTATAATAATGTTACAGGAATAAATGAAGGGACTGACGTGAGGGCAAAGGCCACCAGAGCTCCCACCACAACGATGAAATCCAGAATGTTCCACAGATCTCTGAAATAGGAGCCATCGTGAAGGAGCAGGCCCTGGTCAATCATCTGAGGACAACACAGAGTCGTAAAATAAATGAAACTAGATTATCCCAATCTCAGAATCTGGATTAGAAAATAACCTTGATGTAAAATCCTGATCTTTGATCACAAATTATATTTTGGTAAAGTCATTTAACAGATTTTTACTCACCTTGATGATCATTTCAAACGTGAAGACTCCAGTGAACACATAATCAAAATATCGTAGAACCTGTAGAATTAGTCACACACAGGAAGATACACTGAACATAAAAACACACACACACACAAATACTACTACTACTACTACTAATATATATTCATGTAGTGCTTTTCTAAGCTCTCAAAGTGCTTTCCATTATTCACACACTGCCGGTGATGGTAAGCCACCATGTAGCCACAGTTGCCCTGGGGCGGTCTGACAGAGGCGAGGCTGCCATTTTGTGCCATCGGCCCCTCTGACTACCACCAACACAGGCAAGTTAGGTGAAGTGTCTTGCCCAAGGACACAGCAGCAGAATACCAAGGCAGGAGCAGGAAGCTATCCCGCAAACCTCCGATCGCTAGGCAACCTGCTTAACCTCCCGAGCTACCGCTGCTCCACATACAGACATTCAAAAGATCCCACTTAAACAATGACACAAACAACTGTCGTTTCACATACACCCATGCACACACACATTCAACAGTCAGAACCCGCCCCATCTCTGAACTGCGAATAAAAATGAGAATTTGAATGAAAACATGTTGCATTTAAGAGTTCTATCACAGTATGATCATTTGCATGTTATGAAATTATACAGCAAAAGCACTTATTGGTGCATCCTCTCATCCTATTGGCTACCATCACGCCTCTGCACTGCCACGGACTAATCTCCATGCAGGTATTTCTGCTAACTAAAATGAACAGTTTTAACAAGCCAGACATTTCTCTTTTAAATGATCTTCTTTTTTCTAAAAAGTTCTTATGTAACATTCTTATTTTCTGAAATTCATAATTTTGAGCCTTCATTATATGTAAGTCGTAATTATCAAAAAAACAGGAAATAGAGGCTTGAAATGTGTCACTCTATGAGTAGTGAATCTATATACCGTAATATTTTTCACTTTCAGAAAAACCTGAAAAAAAATTAACTTTTCACAATATTCATATTTTTTTAAATGTACCTGCATATGACACAACAGCGCACATCCTACCAGACCTCAGCTGGACTCAGAACACAACACTGGAGAAGCAGACCTGCTCCGTTTCACTCAAAAACACTACCAACAGCTGCTGCACAGAGAACATCCTAACATGCAGCACGCTGCTGTGGCTTTTTCAGCCAAATGGCTGCTAATAAAAATCATTGTTCCAGCTGCAAGGCATCGCTGGGACTCATTTACCACTACTAATGCAACTACAAATGATCTCTGCGGCTTCAAACACAATCAGAAGCTTTTCCCATTCAGAAAACCCACACTGTCTGGATGGTGATAAAGGTCTTTGGAAGTCTGCACTTCTAGACAAATCTAGCAGGTTTTATCCATGAAGCATTCTGAAGCCATCACCACTGCATGCATATTAAATGTAAGGGCAGGTTATTTATCACAAATCCATGTTTCAGAGAGATAATGCATGCACTGAAATGAACACAAACCTTATTCCAGTCAGACGTTGTGGCTACGGGGTCTTCTGCAGCCAGGGCGATGCTGCTGGCAGCTATGACCAACAGGATGGACATTTCAAAGTACCTGAGGTTCACCACATAATGACATGCTCGACGCACCCTGAAGATGAAACATGCAGGCGACACTTTCTATTAAGATCATAAATGAAGATTAGACGTTGTATGAGACAGACGTCATAGAATAAAAACAGAGTTAAGGACTCCCATTCACCCGGTGAAGTCTGGATGATGGTGAGAACTTACGGGTTGTCAGGTTTGAAGACGAACATGCTGTCTGGAGTTACAGTGTTAACAGGCTTTGTTTCTTCAAATTCCTCCTCCGACTTACAGCTTTCAGGGTCCTTGCTTTTGACTAAAGAAGGTCAAGTTTCAAAATATTAAATCCTTACAATGACATCAAAATGCCACGAAAAACGTGCTAACTTTTTTTGACCTGAAGGCTGAAAACCACATTCAGTAAGTGAGTAAGTGAAGTTTATTTGTGTTGCACAAAATATCATCAATCAAATGAAAGCTAATTAGATCAGAAAGGGGAATATTATAGACAAAGGAAACAGAAAGATTTAAGTAAAAGCAGATTTAAATAAAAGGGTCTTCAGCTGTTTGTTAAAGGTGACCAGACTGTCAATATGTAAGGATAAAGGAAGATCATCCCAGAGTCAGGGTGCAACACCTTGGAAGAAGCGATCATCTAGACTTTTACATCTGGTCTTTGGAACTTCTAGAACACGTGTCAGACGCGAGAGATTCACGTGTCTTAAAATAAGTCTATGCCACTTCAAAGCGCACATGGACTATAAACTACATTTTCCATAATGCATGGCAATTGTGTTCCCAGTGCAGTGACTCGCCACTAGGTCCAGTGTGTCCACTTCCGTGTTTAATTGATGCAACAATTGAAAATAACTGTACACACATCATCGAAAATGTCCAGGAAGAGAAAGATTGATGCAGAAGGAAGGTGTTTCAATAAAGATGGAACATGTTGATATTTCAAGGAGAAAAACTGGTATGTCTTTACGGTCATTAGCATCCGTGCTACTAGCATCAGCGTTTGCAGCGTTACCTCCTCTGCCTCGGGACAAACTGAAAACACTCCTTTTACTCAACGCCGAGTTTACTCAGCAATTAGTCAACTTTGAAGCCCATAAATGGATTTTAACAGCTCAGTAATGTCATGTTCTGTGTCCCTCTGTCCCCAGCCTCCTCCTGTTCTCACTCCAGGTTCTCCTCTTGTGTCTCATTATTATCCCCAGCCCTCTCTAGACTTCCCTCAGGTGTCCTCCTAATCACTCCCTATTCCTAGTCAATCTTATTTTAGTCCTCTGCATCCATCTAGTTATTAGTTGTTTATTTTTGCCCTCAGTCTTTAGGCTTAGTTTTATCCGTGTTTTATAGGTTAAGGTTTATCTGCCTTCCTGCTTGTTTCTTTCCCATCATTTAGGTTATTGTATGCACCTGCCTTCCCTCCAGATCTCACTACTCACACCTGTCACCTGTTTCCCTGATTGTTTCCCTCTGTGTATACAACCCTGTCTGCGTCTTTCAGTGTTGTGGGTTCATTGTAATTGTCAGCGTGTTCTGTCCTCCTCTAGTTACACTAGTTCGTGCTCATGAGTGAGCTTTTTGTGTGTTTGTTTGTGTGTGTTTGTTCGTTCAGCGAGTTTGATATTAAGTCGGGTTTGTTTTTGTGCCTCTGGACTTTGGCGCATCCGCCTTTAATATAAAGGAAGTGTTCTCTCAAACCTCTCCTGCCTTGAGTCGTTCTGGGGATTCTGCATCTTGGGTCCTAACCTGCTCTCACCGTGACAAGTAATCTGTTGCTGCTGACATAGAAAGCGCACAGACCAACTTCCAGACCGAGATGATTTAACTCCAGTTTAGAGACACTCTCAAGTCAGTTTGACTCTGTGGCTGCTGCGGCTTTTATACCCCTCCCCGACACAACTGCGTGGTCCAGATGCTCTCCATGTCCAGCAGCACAAACCTGTGTGAGCAACTGTTTCTCACTGATGAACTCCTTCCTCAGCTCAGAGCCCAACCCCACAGATGCAGGTCTGGCTGGAACAGGTGAGCATCACAGGAAATCAGAGTGGAGAAAACTGATAGAATTTTTTTGCTTTTAACCTTTTCTGCTCCAAAGCATGAAAGTTACTGGGTGAGATGTTGCATTTTCATTTATGAGAATTACAATTTTTTATTTATGTTGTTGGCCTGTGAAAAAAGATTTCACCTACTTCTAAACAGGAAAGATTACAGATAGAATAGAAAAATATAATAGAAAATCCCTTTACTGTCCCTCAGTGGGGAAAGCTTCACGTCACAGCAGCAATAACATTCATTATAGGAGCAACAAAGGAGAGAAAAAATAAACAAACAAGAAAACATAAAATAGAAACATTTAAAGGATTCAAAAGATAAAAAGAAATGCTGAATATATGCAGATTTTAAGGAATAAAATATTTAAAAAAAATTGAGACATAAGTAACGAATACCACTTCTGGTTAATTTCAATTTAAAATCGACTTGCTTGTGTGTAATTTTGTTATTCCACATTCAGTGTTACTACAAAAATAAGTTTGTTTCCAAATGAAAAGGTTCAGTGTTCATACCTGTAGATAAAGGAAAATCTGCACATTTGCGATTACTTAAAAAAAAACGTTGAGTTTGGACCACAACTTCGTCCCAGTTTTTCATTTTGGCCCAGCGTGAATTAGAGTTCGACACCCCTGTTCTAGAAGGTTCTGGTGTGTGGACCTGAAGGCTCGGGTTGGAGCATAAGACTTTAACAGTTCAGTGATATAAATAGGAGCTTGAAAGTTATAGTCAGAATTCTAAAATGGATTTGGAAGTTAATGGGTAACCAAAGTAGAGACATTAGAATAGGAGTGATGTGTGCTCTTCTGTTTGCTCCAGTTAGGAGCCTCATGGCAGATTAGATCTTCTCGCAACCAAACTAATGATAAAAGCCATTTGCTTCTACAAAATGTCACTCATAAATCATAAATGTGTGCTCTTACCTGTGATTGTAGAAAGCTCCAGGGACGGCTGAACACTGGGGACCTCAATCATCACACTAGAGCTGAGCTGGGACTTGTCCAGATCGCCATCTGTCTCAGTGTCTTTGTTATTGTCTGGATTGGCAGGTGCAGAAGTTTCTGTCTGTTGTGAAGACTCTTCACGGTTCTGAGGATCACCGGGAGGGATGTCCTTTGAGTTACTGTTCCTTCCCTCATTTTGATCCCCATGTCTGTTATTGGGATACAAGAGGGAAAAGAAAAGGTGGTCTGTTTCTTTCTATCCATAAATTTGTCAACGGTTTTCCAACACAAACATAGCAAATATAGATTTTCTGCCCAGTGGATCGATGTGTGAGATAACATCAGTTCTCTCATAAAACTACAAGCTTTTGGGAATAACCATTACTTTTATTTGGAATTTTCTTTCAGTTTACACTTTACCAGAAAACTAAAACTCACTTATATAAATCAAATCTAAGAGGGAGAAATGATTGTTGGTTTGAGTACCAGCAAACTCATCATTGCTGTCTGATGAGCAGGAAGATTACTCACCTGCCCTCCCCCTGATTGGACAACTCTCCCTCTTTGTTTTCTTCCTTCCTGCCAGGACCTTTCCTCTCGTCTCCCACCATGGAGCAACCGTCCATTTTTTCCTCGCTCATAGGAGAAGATCCCTGATTTCCAGTCCTGTTGTGATGGTCACACTGATGCAGCACCCTCTGAGCTTTGATCTCAGTGGGACCTCCTTTCTCAGAGGTTTGTGCGTCCGGAGGCCTGAACTTCTTCACATGCCGGTGCTGACGTTCCCCGTTGAGTCTCGGGCTTCGACGTTCAGGTTTGTGACTGAGGCCCAGTTTTTTGCCCTCTGTGACGTGTTCTGATTCAGGAGGTTCTGGTATGGTCAAAGACACAGGATCAGTGAGGGCTGTGTTTGTAGGGTCCTTGGGCTCTGGTACCAGCGCTGACATTGGTCGTTCAGGTATGTCATCAGGGAGCGTTGCATCTAGAGGAGTGTCCACAGCGGACTGGTTCTTTCCTGTGGGGGCCAGAGGGTCAGTCAGTTGCTTCATGTTCCCTGATAGTGTGTGTTGCACGGTCTTACGGTGCAGAGACAGGGGTCGACCTTGGGCATCCTTCTCCTCATTCTGGCTGTTGTATAGGACCTCTCGGCTGGACATCTGCCGGTGTCGCCGCAGCTGGCTGGTCCTCTGTTCCCACACTGACATGGTCATCCTCTTCCTCCTCTCTCTCCTGGACATGAAAGAGTTAGAGGGTTTGAGTGGTGGGGGAGGGCGGCCTTCCCTCATACTGCCCTGGGCCTCCTCCAGGGAGTAGGAGTAAGTCGGACGGCTGCGGTGGATGGCTCTTTTCCTGTACAGGTAGGGCCGCCTCCTCCGGCTTCCCCTGGAAAGAACAAAATATACAGGCTGTCAGCAAATAACGCAGCAGTTTGTGTGTGCCAACTAAGGATGCATGCTTAGTATGAAGTTCAGATTAGCTTTTGTCAAAAGCCTGGTTCACATGGCAGGAGTTTTACATTTTTGGCTATTGTCAAAAGCGTGAAAGACCACAAACAGAGTGATAAATTCTTGGTCCTGTGTGGTGTGCAGAAAATACTACACGCATAAACACAAACCAACTTCACTCACAGACATTTCTCATTTAGACGGGAATACTCTGAGGATAAAACATGACTGCAAACTAAACAAACATGGCAGAAGGGGAGCCTACATTAAGCTTCCATCACCTCATTTTCTGATTTGCTACAAACCACATTCAGCAGCTTGCAAGCTTGTTTATCCCTAAAAAATCAGACCAACATGTTTTAAAGCCTAGATTTTTAATCGGCGCGGTCCCAATGTTAATACAGCACACAATACAGCACACACGGTAGGATTTTTTTGATAAGATTATCTTTAGAGCCACTACAGTAACCATGTGCAACTTTAAGACTGTCAGAAGGGACGGGGCTTGGGTTGCAAGGATTAACCAGTTTGACTATTAACCCCGGTGTGAGTTACATCTTTACACTTAACCCACCGTAAAGACGTCTCCAACACCGCAAAATAAAATAAAGAAATTAGCAGACCAAAGCGAAAGTGAAACTGAACGAATGCACACAGCAGAACCAGCGTCAACAACCAGTGGGGCTGCTCTGTTTCCACCTAGGAAGTGCTTTAAGTCTCTTGTGAGGGAACATTTTAGACTCCCAAAGCTGCTAAAAAAGAAATTCAGAACAATGTCTCGTCCATCTGCAGAGCTGGCAGAAAAAAGTTTTGACACTCCCAACTTGTTAGCATCTCTGAGATTATCACGCAGACGAATAGCTCCAACTGAGTCAGATTACATTAGTGACTGAACGGATTTAACAGTAATATTAGAACAATCCAGTGAACAACTGTTCATCTTGTGTTTTTCTACCATGTTTCCCCTGCATCTGTCTACAACAAGCCTGTACGGCAAGCCATTTTAATATTAATTAAAAACACCTCTCTGTAATTCCTGTTCTACATAGCAATAATATAATTTACCCTTGTCCAAAATAATTTTCTTATTGATTGAAATTTGAAAAGATGAGCAAATACAAATTACATTTAAGCAATAAGTAAAATTCCTAACTGCACTAGTAGGAATTTGACATTTTGACATTTTATCTCATTAAGGTGTCTCCATCCTTCAGCGCTAACCCTGAACAACTGTCAACAGTTAAACATTTTTGTCTTTCACAGAAACTCAAAAAGGCTTTTAGGAAAACTAAAGGTGTGGAACACACACACAAAAACGTTAAACGATTTCTGATAATCAGTCTGAAATTTTCATGCAGGCTGAACATGAAAATAGTCTCCTGCACCCATCTCCTGCAATAGCTTCTGGTAGAAAATAGATGATGAAACTCTAGGATTAGAAAAGCCTGGCAGATCTATGTCACACTGTCACTTAACACTTATGGACTCATCCATCTCGACTCACAATGGGGAAGGCTGTTGATGGTTTAGCATCCGGAAAATAGCACTGAAGGTCTCTGCTAGTAGAAGCTAACTGTTAGCATTAACACCGCCACACAGCAGAACTCCTCCAGGCTTGTGTTATTTGTGGAGGTAAAACATCAACATTGCAAATCAGTAGTAGTAGTCGAATGACATTTTCTAAGCAAAATCCCTGGAAAGGAACAATAGATATTTCAGGGATTCAAAATTTGTATAGAATGTAATTATGCATGTTATCAATAACTTATAGAATAGGTGTGTGATTTCTATACGTTAATGCAGATCTGAAATCAATTAATGTAAAATGATCGTGATAATCATGAAACCGTGTTTATTTCTTTGACTATAATCACACAACCAACGTTTATAATCAATGCAACCCTAGACGGGGCTGGCCAAAAATTAGCACGATTATCCTGCTGTGTGAACCGGGCTTTAGACGCCTGTTTTTAGTTCTGAACTCAAATTTCCTTGCATGCATAATATCCGTTTACAAGGATAAACTAAAACCTTCAAATTCATTTAGAATAACTTCAAATGCAATTTAGGATCATGTTTCATAAGTTAAACATATTAGCAAGCAAAACATGTACATAAAAGAATGAATTGGATGTCACACTGGTTTATCAGCAATAAAAGTGCAATTTTCATTCCCACATAAAGCAATTTATTGGTTCAATGACAATGCTCAGAGGAAATAAATCAGCAGAAGCCAGACATTGTTGTGTGACTTAAACAACAAAAAGAGCAGAAATGTTGAGTGAAATCAGTCGAGTAGATTTAAATTGGCTATGAATTAAAATAAGGTTGAGGGGTCAGAACAGGACAGATGATGAACGGATGACAGTAGGACGTTTGTTCAGATTAGAAAAGCAGGAATGAGAGAGAGAGAGAGTCAGAGAGTTGAACAGACATTGTTACTTACTGGAGCGTGGACTCTTGTGTGGTCCGTGTTATCAATAAGCGATTAGTTGAAAACAAGACATTAGTGCTTTCGTGAGCAGAGACAAAACAGGACAGGAGAGACAGAAAAACAGCATCTCACACACACACAAATGCCACCATGGCTTTCACTGAACAGCTGTAAGGGTTTAGGTTTTTATCCCTGGAGGGGATTCCTTTCAGAGTAAAATACTTGTGCACTTGTACTTAAATGTTGTTTGTATAATTTTATCAGTTTACAATAGTTTACTTTACAATTTTACCATTAGATTTGGAGGGTGTAGTCTTTGGTGTGTGTGACCAAAAAGATGGTTGCAGCTTTGCAAACAATTAAAAGACATTAATAAACAACAGGAGGTGCAACATTGAGAGAAAGACAGTCAGCTGCAGTATGGTTACAAGTAAAGGAAAATCAGAAATGGACACGTGTGAAACCCTTTGAAAACCACACAGCTCTGAACACCAAGGCCACCTTGTAGCACTCACGTTAGCATTCTCTTCAGGACATGCTGAAGAAGTTAAACAAGGCCATTCAAGTGCTGAACTTCTAAACATTATCATTACGCAGTGGAATGCCAAAGTTTGGGCAGCCTGTTAATCTTCATGATTTCTGTGTAAATCGTTGTTATAATAAAAAAAATTGTTAAATGTATCATATAGGAGGCACACACAGGGATGTTTGAGAAATGAAACGAAGTTTATAGGATTTACAGAAAGTGTGCAATATCTGTTTAAACTAAATTAGGCAGGTGCATAAATTTCTGCACCTCAAAAAGAAATGAACTCAATATTTAGTAGATCCTCCTTTTGCAGAAATAACAGCCTCTAAACGAGACTCTGGATTCTGGCTGAAGGTATTTTGGACTATTTTCAGTAACATTCAGGTCTGGGGACTGAGATGGCCATTCCAGAACATTCTACTTGTTCCTCTGTCTCCTATATGATATATTTAACTGAAAATGTTATCATAACAACCAACGATTTATAAAGGGAAATCATAAAGATTAACAAGCTGCCCAAATTTTGCATCCCACTGTACTTGAAAGGATTTTGGAGGACAGTTTAAAGTTTCAATAGTGAAAGAAAAAACACTCACACACTGATTATTATTTGGACTTTCAGTGTGAAAAAATTCCATTTTTCTTTCTGCGATCATGCCAATCAGATGCATGCATTCCCAATGAAATGCGATAATCATCTTCAGACGTGCAGTACTTTGTTTTCCTGCACATTTTTGAAAACGTATTTATTTTGTTGGGGACAGAACAGCAGACATCAGAGATCAGACTAGCAAACAGTTAAAATCCAGAAGATCTACAAATAACCCATGCTTTTATTCCATTTATTTTTGGGGGGTCCGATCAATGTCGAATGAACTAAAACTGATTTTAATGTAAAAAATTTCTTGTTCTATTGTGTTTTGCATTCACTGAAGGCAATGCCCAAATGCTTGAAATCAATATTTAGGAAGTATAATGGAAAGTATGTAATTTTGTGTTGATTACATGTGTAAAAACCTTCTACATGCTCATGCAAGAGACTTTTCCTCATTACGCAGGGTGCATACAAAACTCATGTCCCACTTCTGCCCATGCACATGCACTCGCACAACATTTGACAAGGCAGTTCATTATTGAGAAAAAGCATCTATTCTGCAAGGAGAGAAAACAATGAACACGTTACTTTGTCAATCACAGTCGACATGTGAGATTGAAAAACTTCCCTTGTCTCTCTAAGATGCATCAGCACTGTGTCTTATTACGTTAGACACCCTCTTAATCTGGACTTTAATAAGTCACCCTGTCGCCATGACAACAATATAAGCCTCCCACCCCTGACTGGAACAAGTCACCAGGGAGACTTTGGTTGGAAGCAAATTATAGTACTGGATGTAGCAGACTATCTATAGTGGGACAAAACTAGTCCTCCAACAAGCCAGAGAGGCTTTTAGAAATCAGAACCTCAAAGCAGAACTACTCGAACCTCGGCATCAAACAGCCTCTTTCACAACCGTTTTACTTCAGTTTCAGCATGAATTCCAATAAGCCAATATAAAAATGATACACACATTTTAAAGTCTAATTTATAATAAGAACGGTGTTGTAGTTTAGTCCAATGGACTCATTTGCCAGAGTGAATAGGTGAAAGACAGAGGGAGGAGAGGAGCTGGTCAAGCAAGAGGAGGCAGCATTCATCACTTACTCTGAAGACATGAAGGAGGACAACGGTCCGACCTCATGTGCCTTCTGCAGGGCGTGCTTCTGGTTAAACGCTGCCTCTGCTTCCTCTTCATCCTGATCACAAAGAGGAAAGTGCAAAAGGCGGGTGAACACCTCAAATCAGGGTGAATTTAAATAATTTAATCAAATCAAAGGCGATTCAGAGAAAAGGAGATCAGGACCAGACATGAAAGGGAGGAAAGATTTTAAACCAATGAGGTAGTTACAGCAGGAAGCACATCAGACAGATGACTGTTCTTGAGGTCATGTTTAATCACCTTGGTAAGTTCTTGAGCATTAGCCAGGTTGTCCACAGCAATGGCCAAGAAGACATTCAGCAGCGTGTCTGGTCACATCTACATTGAGGAGTCCCACAACTTCAGCTCCATGTAAAAAGGGATTGTTCAACCATTTTAAAGTTACAAAGAGAAGGTCCCATTCGTGGTCTTTTCTAGACTTACGTGCCCAAGCACATGCACAGATTATATGAAGGGGCGTGGCATCGTAAAAGGTTTGAGCGGTTGCCCGAGTCCCTTTCCGTCAGGGCTATGCTAATAGAGCTGGGGCTGAAACTTGCAAGGAGCATGGTGGCACATACAGTTAGGAAGCCTTACTTTCAAACGACAATACTTTCATTAGCTTCGTCGCTAAGCTTTGCATCAATTTGTACCCGTCTCGTCGCAGTGGCTGTTTTGACTTTCACTGTCGCTTGCTTTCCTCTAATAATGTGAAAAAATAAATAAAACATCTAATCGCCGGAGATGACCACATTTCTTTTAATTATATAGATTGAGTGTTGTTACATCTGGGTAATAATGCACATCGACAAAACGCTGGAGGGCAAAAGGAGCCTCTGGAAGCAACTTAACTACTTAGGAGAATATTTTTGACAAATAACTCCTTTCATTTTGAAGTTCCACATACATTTCCCTAAAAGCAAAGTGTTCAGGGATACAGTTTCCAAAAAGAGTGAGAACTATAAAGTAGATGGAGGACCACATGCCAGATCTCACTCCTCCTTGCGAGCGAATACCGTTATACATGACCTCATTCCAGTCCTCTCCGGTCAGGATCTAGGAAAACACACAATCACCAAGAATGGTAAACCATCCTAAATATCTCTGAAGAGCTTAGCTTGACTCATTCTTTCAAGACTGATTTATTTTGAGCTCATTTTCCAGCTTTCTCTCCAGACCTGAAAAACGGTCATGATAGCAGCAGGAAAGGTATCAAAGTTTGTTGGTGTGTAGTCTTCAAAGATGAACCTGTAAAAGGAAACAAGAAAAAAATAAAAAAATAAAATGTGGTTGTAGGAGTGAATCTTTTGTATGTGAATTATTTTAGTAAAATATGTTTTGTCTTTGTAATCCGTAAGCCTGTTCCTCAGTTTGTCTCTCAGTCAGTTTTGATCAAAGTGACGGCTTTTGGAAAATAACTCCAGGGAAACAGACAAGTAATAATAGGGATGGTCACAAAGATGGAGTTTAAAGATCTACTGGGAACACCTGAGTGTATTAAAACAAATGTTATTGGACCATAAGACCACCTGTTATCCTCTAAGCTGTCCACTTTAACCTCACTGTAAACTGGGAATGTGAGTGGAACTAGAATCCAGCAGGTAGGTTTAAAAGAAAAATGTTTTGAGTGTCTTTATTCTTAGATTCTCTCTTGGCCAAAGTTGCTATTCTATTATATCTGATTGGGTTTGCTTTGGAGAAATAAAAACAAAAGAGACTGTAGTGTTACCTTCCACCAAAAAGCTGCATGCCAAGGAGAGCGAAGACGACAATGAAGAGAAACAGAAGGAAGATCAGGGAGATGATGGACTTCATGGAGTTCATCAGAGAAACGACCAGGTTTCTCAGAGATGCCCAGTACCTTAACAGCAACAAAACATCTTTCAGTTTTTAAGCGAGAAGCACAAACAAATATGTACACTCACTGCAAACTTTATTGGCTACACCTGTCCAACTGCTAATTAATGCAAATTACTAATCAGCCAATCACATGGTGGCAACTCAATGCATTTAGGCATGTTGTCATGGTCAAGACGATCTGCTGCAGTCCAAACTGAGCTCCAGAATGGGGAAGAAAGGTGATTGAAGTGACTTTGAACGTGGCATGGTTGTTGGTGCCAGACGGGCTGGTCTGACTATTTCAGAAACTGCTGATCTTCTGGGATTGTCACGCACAACCATCTCTAGGGTTTACAGAGAATGGTCCGAAATAGAGAAAATATCCATACAGAGTAGAATGGCCATACTGGTTCGAAATGATAAAAAGGCAACAGTAACCCAAATAACCTATATTCACAATCAAGGTGTGCAGAAGAGCATTTCTGATCACACAACACATCGAACCTTGGGGCAGATAGGCTACAGTAGCAGAAGACCACACCGAGCGCCAATACTGTCAGCTAAGAACAGGAAACTGAGGCTACAATTCAGGCTCACCAAAATTGGACAATAGAAGATTGGAAAAATGTTGCCTGGTCTGATTAGTCTGCTGCAACATTTTGATGGTAGGGTCAGAATTAGGCGTCAACAACACAAAAGCATGGATCCATCCTGCCTTGTATCACCGGTTCAGGCTGGTTGTGGTGGTGTAATGGTGTGGGGGACATTTTCTTGGCAAGCTTTGGGCTCCTTAGTACTAACTGATCATTGTTGCAACGCCACAGCCTACCTGAGTATTGTTGTTAACCGTGTCCATCCCTATATGTCCATGTCCATCCCTTCTGATGGCTACTTCCAGCCGGATAATGCGCCATAAAGCTTGAATCGGCTCAGACTGGTTTCTTAATGACAATGTTCTCACTGTCCTCAAATGACCTCCACAGTCACCAGATCTCAATCCAATAGAGCACCTTTGGGGTGTGGTGGAATGGGAGATTTGCACCCTGGATGTGCAGCCAACAGATCTGCAGCAACTGCGTGATGCAATTCAGTTTATTTGTATTTTGGTTTTGTTCCCAGAGGATTAAAGGTGCAATACATGTTTCTGCCTCCAGGTGGTGCCCTCTGAGAAAATAAATATTTCTGTTTTAACCCTCTCAGGCCCTGTCCACACGTAGCCGGGGATCTGCCAAAACGTAGATATTTTTCTACGTTTTGACCTGTCATCCACACGAAAACGGAGTTTTTTTCACACAAAAACGGATCTTTTTAAAAACTCCGGCCAAAGTGAAGATCTGCGTTTTCTCCGTTTTGGGTGTCTGCGTGTGGACGGACAAAACCGGAGTTTTAAGGTCCGCAACGTCACTTTCCGCGACAGAAAAATGCTGACATCACGTGTGCGACCTGTGTTTACACTAGCCGACAGCATGGAAGCCTCAGAGCTGCGCTCGCTTTATCAATTGTCCAAGCGCTCTTTGCTTGTTTGTTTTTGCAAGCAGAATTACTGCTCCTTGCGGAAGACCACAGACGAAGGACGAGGTTAAGAACGGGGGAAGTACTGCCGCCCACAGGTCTGGCATGTCCTTAACAACGTATTTATCCGGGTACGTGTGGACAGAGTATTTTTTTTAAATGAGGTGGTGTGGATGCAAGTTTTTGGAGGGGCGGATATTCGTTTTTAAAGAACCCGGCTACGTGTGGACTAGGCCTGAGGCTTAAAATAAGTTTTGATAAAAGGACAAACAACTAAGTCCTTCAGGGGTACTTCTGAGTTAAAAAAATGTTCATGAACTACATATGTGGAGTAACCAGGTCGGTAGGTTTTACCGTTGCAAATCTGCAACCTCTGGAGGGTTAAGTGTGGAAATAAAAACATCAACTTACTTGGTGATTTTGAAGATCCTCAGCAGACGAAGAGCACGCAGGACACTGATTCCAAAAGAAGTTCCAGGCCTGAAGCAGCCCCAAAGCACTTCAAAGATGCTGCCAATGATCACCTGTGATGTGCACATCATGTTTACCTTTTGCACAATTGTACATTTATTAATTTAAAGGTCCTATATCATGCAAAATCCACTTTTCTGAGCTTTTGAGAGTGTTTCATTGTTATTTCCTCGTGTCCGTGTGTGTGCACATGCGTGCGTGCATGTTCGTGTGTTTGTAATAGTACGTGCACAGGTGTGTCTGCAATCCTCCAGACGAGAATCTTTCAAGCAGTGGGGTAGGGGTGGAGGTGTTGGTCATCGAGCATCGATTGGAACCCAGACCAAATGTCAGTCTATCCTGGAATCATTTACATTTTTTAAATCCGATTCCTAGTTTTGATGCCCAATCCACTGTCCTGAAGAAGAAGCTGCCAAATATCAACAAAGAAGAATTAACCAGAAGTGGTTGGATTACTGCTGCAATCATAGGAAATGTGCAGAGGTGTAGTAAAGTGTGGCTTCAGCCATCAATCAAAATCGGCTGACCTCTGTTGAAAAAAATAAAACGTGATCTGCAAATTCTGATCAATGCCTTTCAGAGTCGATTATTTGTAGCCAGCAGAGACACAGTGTGCCGCATTGTGTCTCTTTCCCTCCTTTCTTCACACTGTACAGGTGGACAGTGGTAAAGGTGTAAACAAACACACTTCTGCCAAATTTTTACTCCATCTGTGAAAGAAATGTAAACTTTGGATCCTGAGTGGTACATGATGGTGAATCTGTGGTTTCTGGGTTTGTAACTGTGCACTATGATGAAATTCACACGGGAAGGTGGGGTTTCATCAAATAAAGCGTCTCATTTCTGGGTTAAATCGTGCCAACAGTATTGGACCTGACTGCAGCCTTTGACACTGTTTACCATCAGCTGCAACTAGATCTATTACATCATTTTTTTTAAAAAATTCTCTTTTTTAGTTTTTGTTCTTGTGAAGCGCCTCATAATTTTTATCTTGAGAGGTGCCATATAAGACAATCATTTCTTCTTCTTCTGGTATTTTATCATATATTGTGCTCTGGAAGGTGTAAAATAGCATGATACAGATCCTTTAAATGAGTTAACCAAGGCAAGAACTGTGATGAAGAGAAGTAATTACAGAGGAGGTGTTTTTGCGCTTCAGAAGAGTTAGACTTTTTTTTTAAAGTTTGAATGACCCAATAAAAAAAGAAAAAAGCACTAACACTACAGTCAAAGCAGTTAAAGGAGGAATGAAAGTAGAGACGTGGCCCCAGACTGTACATCTTCAGAAACATCTCAGTCAGGAACAGAGCCAGGAACAGAAACTCTGCATAATCTAGAAAGACATGATGAAAAGTCATTGGGATTTTATGTTTTAACATTGCATAAGTAATTAGAAGCTACAATATTTCCTCTAACAGTTCCAGTGCTGATGAAACAACTCACAGAGGAAGTTGGACAGCCAGAGAGGCTGATTGTGGTGAACAATGGCAACGCACAGAGTGTTGAGAGCCACCAGGCCAAGCACTGTCCAGTAAAAGGTGTGCGTCTTTACCACGCGGCGAATGGAAATGCGAAGGAGGCGTTCCTTGCGGCGAAAATAAGCTGTCGGACCCCGCTTTGCACTCTTGATGCTTCCTCTGGCCATGGGCATGCCTTGTGAGGTAAAGAGGAGATGCAGAGTGAAGCTGTAGTCTGGCAGCACCTGCACAGCATGTTCCCATTCTGAATGCTGGACAGGACAGCGTGATGCTGACAACCCTAACAACGGCATTTCAAGCTGCAGCAGAGCTCACTGCGCCATGCTGGTGTCAACATTTTATGTGCAGATATTTCAGAGCCGGTCCAGACGCCCACTCACCCAGAGAGGAGATGTCACCATATTGTTCCTCCCCCGGTTGCCCCTGATGCACACCCATGCCTCTCCTCTTGATGGTGGTGGCTCTCTTCAACACTACACACAGGGAATATTAAAAAAAGGAAAATTACCTGAGAAGAACAGATGCAATTGTGAATCTAGACAAAGCCCTTATGAAAACCGAAACGTGTTAAGGATGCATTTATCCCAATCCCTTCTAACTTCATTTTAAAATCAGACTCAAATTAAAAAAATGTTAAATGTGGAACCAAAATTTGTAAGTCATGCAAAAATACTGTTAAGGGCCATTCAGTCCCTTTATCAGAGGAGCGTGAGTTTGGTCCGCATAGCCGGTAGTAAGTCGGACCTGTTCCCAGTGAGGGTTGGACTCTGCCAGGGCTGCCCTTTGTCACCGGTTCTGTTCATTACCTTTATGGACAGAATTTCTAGGTGCAGCCGTGGTGTGGAGTGTGTCGAGTTTGGTGGCAGGAGAATTTCGTCTCTGCTTTTTGTGGATGATGTGGTCCTCCTAGCTTCATCCAGCTCTGACCTTCAGCTCTTGCTGGGTAGGTTCATGGCCGAGTGTGAAGCAGCTGGGATGAGGATCAGCACCTCCAAATCTGAGACCATGGTTCTCGACCGGAAAAGGGTGGCTTGCCAACTCCGGGTCGGGGGAGAGGTCCTACCTCAAGTGGAGGAGTTTAAGTATCTCGGAGTCTTGTTCACGAGTGAGGGTAGGAGGGATCGGGAGATCGACAGGCGGATTGGTTCAGCATCTGCAGTGATGCGGACACTGAGCCGATCTGTTGTGGTGAAGAGGGAGCTGAGCCAGAAAGCCGGGCTCTTGATTTACCGGTCGATCTACGTCCCAATCCTCACCTATGGTCATGAGCTTTGGGTAATGACCGAAAGAACGAGATTGAGAATACAAGCGGCCGAAATGAGTTTCCTCCGTAGGGTGTCCGGGCTCAGCCTTAGAGAAAGAGTGAGGAGCTCGGACATTCGGGAGGGACTCGGAGTAGAACCGCTGCTCCTCCGGATCGAAAGGAGCCAGTTGAGATGATTTGGGCATCTGGTCAGGATGCCTCCCTGGGGAGGTGTTTCGGGCATGTCCTGCTGGCAGGAGGCTCCCAGGTCGACCCAGGACACGTTGGAGAGGTTACATCTCCAATTTGGTCCGGGAACGCCTTGGGGTCCTGCCGGAGGAGCTGGTGGAGGTTGCCAGGGAGAGGAAGGTCTGGAGGTCCCTAGTTGGGATGCTGCCCCCACGACCCGGACCAGGATAAGCGGAGGAAGACGACGACGACGATGCAAAAATACCAGAAACCTTTATGTAGGAAATGAAAGGATTTCTTAAAACCTTTGTAATGGGTTTGTGTGGAAACAGCTGCAGATTGCTCTTTAGATAACCTCTTGTTTTGGTAAAACAAAGCTCAGTTCTGACCAGACTCAGGAGCAAACAGCTGGATTACTCTCTCTTTTAACAAGACTGATCTAAAAAAGTCTAGTTTTAAATCCACTTTTTGGAAAATCTGGCCATATTATATTTTCATAGCCTCATGAAAAACATTTGTGTTACGTTCTTTCTGTGTTGCTCATGAAAAACACTCCACAGTGGTTTTTGGCTTAGTGCATGCATTTTCCTGTCTAAATCCTCTTCAGCCCTGCCAAGCTATAGCAAACAGCAGGATGGGGCTGGGTTGCTTCATCATTGCCCTTTCCTCCCCATCAGGTCAGTGTTGAATCCTCCTACCCTGGCCTGTAAACACTAACACCCTTGCTCTGCCAGTGGGGTTTTAATTCTTTTTTTTTCTTTCTTATCTAGGCTACATTTAGATAATGCCTAGAACCCAAAGATGTATTTTTGTCTGCAATAGGTACAGGATCCCTGTTCAGTTTTCCTAAAGAAGACACAAAGGGTAGGATTTTCTCCTCAGGAGCTCTCAAAAATCGAGCCAGAATGTGACTATGATTTCGCAGACTGCTGCTCATTTAAAGTTCTAGTTGAAAGGGGAGTATATTAATGTTGATGCTAAATGAGATAAAAAAATATTTGAAGAGTAACAAAAATCCAAAAGAACTCTTTTTTTAGTTCCTTATAAACTGTATAACTGGGTCATTACAAATGCAATCTTTCTGTTTCTGTGCATTTTTGACATGTTTGTGTAAACTTGATTAAATCTAGAATCTAGGTCTAAAAACGTCTTAGTGCTGCCTCCTGTGGGTTGAACTGCGGCTACTGCATTTTAAACTTGCGATTGACTGGAGCTGGTACAATTTCACCTTATCGGTGGTAGTAGTACTAGTACTAGTAGTGGTAGAAGAAGAAGAAGAAGAAGAAGAAGAAGAAGAAGAAGAAGAAGAAGAAGAAGAAGAAGAAGAAGAAGAAGAAGAATTCATTTGTAAAGCACCTCTCAAGATAAAAATCACGAGGCGCTTCACAAAAACAAAAAAGATGTAAAAACATAAAAAAGAATTTAGAAAATGGTTAAAAATATATTTTAAATGAGCAAAAAATAGACAATCGTGATTAAAAATATGTTAAGAAAGAGAGAGAGTGAATAGGAAAGGGAAATCAGTGGGTCCTGAGGAAGGTTGAATAGGTGGGGAGAGCAGAATAAAGAGAGAGTGATGAGGAAGGTCATACAAAATCGAGCTTGAACAAGTGAGTCTTCAGTTGCTTTTTAAAGGAGACCACTGAGTCCACTGATCTCAGGCTCAGGGGGAGAGAGTTTCAGAGTCTGGGGACCACAACAGCAAATGATCTGTCACCTTTGATCTTTAGCCTGGTGCGCTGCACAACCAGTAGGCTTTGGTCACTGGACCTCAGGGACCTGCTGGGGGTGTAGGGACTGAGAAGATTACCAATGTAAGATGGTGCTTGTCCATGTAAGGCCCTATAGACCAGAACCAGGATCTCGAAATGAACCCTGAAGTTAACTGGCAGCCAATGAAGCTGGAGGAGAAGCTGAAGAGGGAGCAGATAGAGGAGGAAGAGCAGAGGCCCCAGCACAGAACCTTGTGGGACACCATGGATAAGGGAGGTGGTGGAGGACCTAAATTTGGAGAAGGCCACAGAAAAGGAGTTCTCAGTCTCTCCAGTAGCAGGTGATGGTCAACAGTGTCAAAGGCTGCACTCAGGTCCAGCAGGACCAGAACAGAACAGTCGCCTGCATCACTGTGAGTCAGAAGGTCAATTTGAGACCCTAAAGCCTGATTCATGCTTCTCCGCCAGCTCCAACAGGGAGAGACACGCACGCACGGACGGAGACATTTTGCCCTCATACTTCTCCGTCTCCTGGGGAGTGTTGCAAAGCAATTCCCCGCCAGGACAACAGAGGGGGTTGCACTGTTCTGTGGTATCCTGTCATGTATCTGGTCCAAGATAGTATGTTTATATTGTGGGTTTTTTTGTATATAAGAGACTTTTTAACACGGACAAATTTGTCTCTCATTCTCCTACACCTCTTCATGGGTTCGCCACCTCTAAACCCACGTTTCCTGTCATTTCCATCCACAAATAAAATGGCTGCTGCGCATCTTTACACTCCTCCAGTCACGAGGGAATTAAACGTTCATATTTGTAGAGTTTTTTCACAAGGTATTCCTCAAGCTTCTCCATGTTTGCCGCTAGTTATTCTCAGCTCTCTTTATGTTTTTGAAGGCGCAATGGCGGCGGTGTAGACGACAGCGGTGCCCAGACCAATCACAAGCTTGCGTTCTCCGTCTCGACTGACGGATGTTTAGAAAAGAGAGCTCGACTCCGTACGTCCTTGCGGGGCTCTCCAGCAGGCCCGCAAGGACGGATAATGGCGTTGCGTGTCTCCGCACTGACGCAGAAGCATGAATCAGGCTTAAGAAGAGCTGTTTCCGTTCAGTCTCCTCCCATTCCCTGGGAAACTGAAGGTTTACTGTGGGTGGAAATTCCCCAGACTTGGCCATGCCACTCCACGCCTCCTGCAACGCCAACTTTCAAAGCATTTTTCAAATTTTGACTAGGGGTGGAGTTGCATTTTCTGATGGTGTGTAGTACCTCTTTAATGTTGGGGCAATGGTCCAAAACAGCTCCCAGTGTGATCTTAACATATCCATGATGGGGAAAGCATGCTTAGAGGTGACTCAGTGGTGACTAGAATTAACTCATTCTACAGGAACTGAAGGATGAGCATGTTTGGCTGTCTAAGCTACCAGACCTGAATAAGATTACGTCTCATATCATCTTACCTCCAACCAACAGCCCCTGATTTCAGAATCCACTTTCAGTCCGTGTTTGCTCAGGGGCTTTTTAATAAGGCCTTGAGCAAACACACAACTGCACAAAAACACTGCTGTTATTTCACACACACGCACGCGCACACTCACATACCAGTGTTTACTGAAGGCAGAGAGACTGTGGCCTGTCAACGCACTCGCACACACATCCACGCTCCTGCCTTATCAGACCAGCGGTTGCTAAGGCAACAGTTGTGCACCACCTTTCTTCATAATCAAAGCTATTGGAGCGTCTGCATTTATTTCCACCACAGCTGAAGCCAGTTTCTGCATCTGTAACAGATTCCCTTCAAACCATTTTACCATGTCAGAGTGACCTGGTTGTTTGTGTGCAAAAATGATTTAGTGAGTTTCCGACAAGAATGTGCAGAAGAAACAACTCACCTATTCTCCACTGTAGCTCCCGAGAGACGCCATTCAGCCAACCTTTTTTTAAAAGCCCTGCTGGCATGGCTCTATGGAAAGGTCACCGAGTTGAAAAGTTCAGAGCAGCACTTAGCTGTTACCTGCTATCGAGTGGGGATCGTGGTTAACGACATGTTTAGCACCAGGTCTGTCTGTGTGGCATGTGGGGATTGTGGAGAAAGATGTTGCGGTGTGAAGGATTTGTGCAAGAGCTCCACACTCTGACCTGATGTTCAGCTGTTGTCACAGCAGATGCATGTCAGACAAGAAAAGTTGGGTTTGGCAAAAGGTTGACATGATGCACCAGGTTTTACTCATGAAAGTGTTATTAAATGTTTTAAATCTTACAAAAATCTGGATTTGTGTGACAAGAGTCTGAAAAGATGAAAAATGGTCTATTTTTAATTTGTGTGATGATG